TGTGTTTTTCATGCGGCTTTGGCAGTTGCACATAGGAAAAGAGATGAAAGGTAAGATGTTCCATCTTATCCTTCTATTACTTGTTCATCTCAGGATGATATCCCCCCGTTTCCTATATCCTACTTGACAACAGTACAAAGTGGTAGGTTGATTTGCTATCACTGACTGGGGGTCATCTCCTGTTTTTTCCTTTCAGGGGACCAGTGAGAATAGGGAAAATTCTCCAGCCAGTGGAGCGCGGCCTGTCCCTGGTGAGACTCATTCTGCCCCCTCGAGAAGCCAGCCATCCCCTCAAGCGGCGGCACCTCCAACACAGAGCAGTCCAGCTCACCGAGGTGTGGAGCAGCATGCGGAAGAGAGCGGGGACCAGCAGGCTCCTGCCGCAGGAGGACACTGAGCGGCCTGCTCACCTCGCACCTTCATGGAATGGCTTCTCTGCCTGGACAGAGGGAGAGGCGTGACACGTCTCCCTTAAGGAGCATGGCGCCACCTTTGCTTCTATATACCTGAACTCATCATTACCATGGAAACACACATACATGCCACACAGGAGCTACAGTACACATTGGCAGAAGCAGGTGAACTTCACAATCCCACTAGAATCACAGATGGGAAATGGAGTGCAGTGAGGACTTTAGTTCTTTGTCGGTGAGGTTGACGATGGACTTCTCTGTCAGTGCAGAAAAGAAGCTGAAACCAGCAGTTACACTAAGTGGAGGGAAAGGAAGCGCTACAAGGTGAAAGCTGATATAATTTTTCCCTCTTCTGATTATTTATTCTAATTATTTGGCTCTCAATGCAAACTGGGAAGAAAGAGTATATATCTATCGTTTTGTTTTTTTTTTTCCTGAAGAGAACCATTAAAAAGGTTATGAGACATTAAAAAGTAACCAGATAGCAGTTCAGAGTATATTTGCTTTTGTTTTGTTTTGTTTTGTTTTTTTAAAGTTTCACCAAAAACTTGGCATATGTTTAGCAAATATATTTTTATATGTGTATGGTGTATAATGAAAACAGTCAATTCTTTGAGCAGCAAAAGCTGTTAAGGACTACTGCAAGCTAAGCTGAGCTTTAAAATGCCTTTTGTTTTAAATGGGCTTTAAGACCAGTGGAGGGGGTATTTTCAACCAACCAACCAACTCAGTATCCAGTGGCTTGATATATAGACAAGGCTTTACTAAATATATTGATACTGTAAATAGCCCCCGTCACTATTTACAATTTTATAGTGATTTGGGCTGCAGTTAGTTGATGGAATAAAACAAAAACTATCACTGAATTCCTAAGGGTTTCTTTAATTAAGCAGTACTATTTTCAAATAACAGTATAAGATTTAAGTGCCTGGGGGAGGGATGTGATTTTTAGAAATTACAGAATAGGTCAGTTTTTGTTTTGTTTTTTTGGTGAGGGGGTTAAAGGTGGCGAATAGGAAACCAGGAATGGAAAGGAGGGGACTAAGAGGCAACTATACTTTCCAATGACTAAGGAAACAAATCTCAGTATCTTCCTTCCCATGGAGACACAGTCAGACACTGGACAGTCCAGATATGGGTAAGCTACTGTAAATATTACATACAACTACTGCCAGAACAATGTCTGGGTGAAACACGCATATAGCTTGCTGCTAAAAGTGAAAGCTGAGGTTAAAAGGAAGCCTTGGGGGAGGGACTTGGAAAAGGGAACACTGCTTTAGCTGAATGGAGGTCAATTACAGTGTGTGTAATAGCTGTGGATGAGCACAGGAGAGAGGAAAGAACAGAGTTAAAAATGAGCAACTCACCTTGCCCCTGACCCTGATTAGACAGGATCAAGTGTAAAGTGAGGGCTTCTCCATGACACCATACTTCTGCCCCAAACTGCATCTGGGAGAAGATACTCTACACTTGAAAATCTAGCTTCACCACAAAACACAGCTTAAAAATAAAATCACTGAAAGAAATAGAACTAAGCAAATAGTTATTTTTGCACTTGAACTGAAACGTACTGTACTGTAAATTATCATGACTCATTTTAAGTGACCTTTAAAATCAGATGTATTTATTATGCTTATGTAATTATAGAAATAAAGAGATGGGTGACAGGCTGAACCTCACCTATGAATGTACAGTATGTGGATTTGTGAAACTGACTGTAGGAAGTCAAAAACTTATACTGTGTCTTGTGTTTACAGTTCTGATTTATTTCTTTGAAAAGCCTGCTGTTTTGGAAATGTACAACTGACATGTTGAAATAAAAATAAATACCATTTTTAAATACTTCTTAAATGATAAAGATGTGACCAAATAAAAGTACTTTACTCTGTAAAGAATGAGACCAAGATTCAACAGATCTTTGTTATGAAACATTTACTGTGTTCAATAATGCAGTCATTTCCAGCCTTTTAGAGCGACAACTTCGTGGGTTTGTGGCCTTTGTGGCTTTTTCTTCCTGTCCTCAACATGCTATATGCCATTAAAAAAATATTAAAGTGAGTTCAAATTAAATTCTGATTTGAGAATTTTATAACCCCACTTGAGATTCCCTGGAAATCCCGAGGGGTGTCACAAATCCTGGCTGGTAATCACTGCCTTAATGACTTATTTCATGCTCTTTCCCCTATGATTGTAGAAAATGTGAATTACCCGAGTGCTGAGCTTGTGTGGATCCTGAGAGACTAGTTTCTAATTACAAACAATTACTCAAAGCCTTAAGTAGAATAGTAAGATGATTATAATACATATATCTCCACTAGCCAGTAAACCTCATGAAAACCTACAGAATTCATAGGAAAACATACTGCCTTACTGGCTTATAATCCTGCTCTGGGCCACATGCCAGGTAGTGACTAAGTGCTTCCCTCTGATCTGCTCTTCCTCCAGTACAGCAGGGTGGGGGGTGCTGGGGCCATTATTTAAGCAGTAATCCTCTCAGCCCACCAGGTGTAAGCAGTGAATCGGAGAAAAGAACCATATTCACAGTCCTGGGTACTTGTTGTCTGCTGATGAAATTGCCATCTTGTCTTGTACATATCACCAATATGGTACATACCACTGTCCCCACTATAAACATGGGGATTCTGAAGGGAACAGTTTATGTCATGGGATCAAGAACATAAAGCCAGCATTCAAACTTGCCTGATGCCAAAACATGGTTCACCCAGCACCTTCCCCCCACCCCAGGGGCCAGGGAGGCTTCCCTGCTTCTGGTTTGGTGGAACAAGCCACACAAAGGCCTGGCCTGAACCACCATCACCTCATGTGCCTGATACAAGGACATGTGTGGCTGTACTGCCAGGTATTATAAAATTCGTTTTCTGGATATTCCCAGATACCTAAAAATCAGGCACCTTTTAACTCCTGATGCTTTCTTAGCTGTGGCCAGACCTCTTACACTTTGAAGGTGACTTGGGTTGTCTGGCAACCTTGCAGAGAAAACCCAGAGGTTGGTAGGGACTCTGACCAGTGCCACGGGCATTTGGATGAGCAAGCACATCCACAGCTCAAAGTCCCAGATGATGGCATTGTTGGGGAGCACTGTCTGGAGTGTAGCCTTAGCCACAGGTGTCAGAACTTGCCATGTGGTGCATCTGAGGAGCTGGGTTTCTGACTTAAAAGGCCACATGTGACTTGTGACCACCATATTGCACAGTGCCAGTGTAGTGTAAAAGACTATTTTGGGGAGACCTCTCCATCTGTTTCCCTATCTTCGGTATGTGAGGCTGAACCTTAAAATTGTTGCATGAAGATGAGGGCATGCTGTGACTGCAAGGAAGTAGCAGGTGATTTTCCATTCAGAAGTTCTTTTGTTATGGTGCATGAGGATACCAAGTCACTCCTGAAGTCCCAGATCACTCCTGTGTCATTTCAGCAAAACACAGTTCAAGAATCCAAACCATTGGGCAGGAGGGGGGAGGCAGGTGCTTATATGGCGGAAAGTTGAAGGGGTGAGAGAAGGGGCAGTGGTTTCTAAAATCTAAAATCAATTGACCTTATGCCAGGACAAACTGCAGTTTGAGATAAAGAGAGTACCTGGAAACTTGATGTCGAGAAGGGGAAAGAAATGAGCCATTCCAGGTGGGGGCTTAATTCTTACTCCCATCTGTTTTGGGTGGCTAACGCAGGGTCACCTGCTCTATTGTGGCTTCATGGAGGTTCTAGATTTTAGAGGTGGCAACCCAGGGATCCTACGGTGCTCAGTTTAGGAGTTTGAGATCTGAAGTCCCATTGTCTGGATTTGAGTCTCAGCTCTGCCAGTGAAAACCTGCACATACACCTGACCTCTCTGGGTGTCAGGTCCCTTCTCTGTAAGTGATGAGAGCATACAGGCTATTTTGAATTCTAAATGAAATACCTGATCTATATTGCACATTCTGCAAGTACTGCTGTTATTGTTGTGTGGCAAATAAGCCATGGCAAGAGCAGTGGGGTCTCATTTCCCCAATCAGAACCTGACTCTCAGTATTTTGTCAACATTTAAATCTATAATCTAAATCTATAAATGGTCATCAACATTTAAATCTATAATCTATAAATCTACTTTCTCCGAAAGTACATGTCATGCTAAATGTTTGCCTATACCTAGTAAACTGTTCAATAAAGCTCAGTTCCTACATGCATTGTAAACACTGAGTAGCTGGAGGTAGGAGCTGAGACACAAGATCAAGCAAAACCTAAGCTGAAGAGGTTGGGGATGACAGGTAACAACAATCCCCTTGTGTGAAGTCTACAGAGAGGGGGAGATTTTTAAGACACTGTTCCACAATTTTTGTTTCCTTTTCTCCTACGAGGCATCAACAAATATAAACCAAGAAATCTTGTTTTTTCCCAAATAGTCATCTGAGGATATTGCTATTTTCAGCTATAGACATGTCTATAGTATGTGCTACTCAAAGTGTGGTTGTGGGCTGGTTATTCATATACCATACACTGTTGCCAGTGGTGACGAAGTAGAAATTAAGGATTTCAAGATACGTAAGGCAATTTGACAGTGCCATGACATCCAGGCACACAATAATGGCTTAGAATTTATATGTCTTTTAAAAAATTACTTCATTTTTCTACTTTTTTTTTTTTTAATGTATCTTACCAAAGTGTTACTTGCAATGGAGGTAGGGGGTATGTCCATCACCCAGACCATCTAGAAGCAGCATCATCTCCTGCACACACAGCTACCAGGCACAGGGGATTAACATGTGCACTGAAGCAGCAGGCACATTAACATTCAGCTAATCTCTTGAATGGATTAGCCATGGGGCCTTTTCCTTCACTAACTTTTTTTAAAGCCTGCAATAAAGGAAGTAGAAAGGACATGGTCCCTGGCATTCCGTGGCTCAAACCCTGATTCTAGTCCTCGGCATATATGTCCTTCAACAAACTACTTTTACTTTCTCCAAATCTTACCTCAAATGTAAAATGGAAATAGCAGTAATACATATTACAGAGAAGCCATGAGGTTCATATGAAGAGGCATAGAAAGTGCCTCGTGTAGCACCCGGTCCTCCTCCCCTTTCTAAGGCTTGATCACTGCCTTTTTGGAAAGTGGACCAAATTTAGAATATATGCAGATTCTCCAAAAGATTTAAACAACAAAGAGCAGCTATCCCACTGAATGCACCTACATGATGATACAACCTACATGATGATACAAACCAGTATTACTTCAATTAAAAAAAAAAAGACAACTAGACTCTTAGGCCAGAGAAGGGTAAAAGGCATTAACATATGAAGAACATGCCCACTAGAAGGGCATTTGATGTTGGTCAATAATAAAAGATTAGACAGTGGTCACAGGAGGAATTTGGTGGGACCTGCCTTAAAAGAAGGGTCCTCTCTGCTAACAGACTGGGTATTTCATCACATTAGCAAGGCTGCTCACCCTGAGGGTATCTGCATTGGACTTTTTGTCCTGATGACTTTAAACATTATTATGTAACAAATTCCCTTTTTGTTCTCTCGCAACCTTTTTATTACCATTTGAGCCCTTATAAATCTGTTTTCTGAGAATTTGTTGGTTGAATCAATTCTTATCTTTATGTCAATTATATTTTTGGTTGTGAAACACTAAATGGACAGACTATATGAATTGGTTAATGTGAGACAACTCTTCTTATGGTTCAATGACAAAAACCAAGCACTAAATCAACCAGGTCAAGAGTCACACCCACATGGTAAACCTATCAATGTCACATCAACCTGTGGGGTCTCTCAGAAGGCAGTACTTTTGGGGTTGCCTAAAAATACCTCTCTGTCCTTCTGCAGGCTTCTTCAATAGCCCATTTCATTATGTTACCTATGCAGAGGCTGCTTCTTTCAATGGGACAAAATAAAAACCCGATTTAAAATATTATATTTCTCCGACGCTGGGGAACAACCCCATACAGAATAACATAAGATCCTGTTTCTTTTCTCATCATTTCAGGGGTCTCAATTTCTCCACATGTTGATGTAGCCCATCATCTACTCCAAAAGTCTTAAACTCTAAAGTTGCTTATTACATTTCTAGAGGACCAAAAAGCCCAAACTTCAAATACTGTCCAAATGTCAGAGAGACACACCCCTGTAATTCAACCTTAAGTATTATTGGCAAACTACACAACTAATTCACAAAGCATTTTTTGTGACATGTTAAATGTGCTTTAAAACCTTTTAGAAATAACACTGAATGATACGATTGTTTAAGCACAGCCACCTACTCTTCATCTCACCCACACATTTTGGTGTCAAATAGTCCAACTTGCTAACAACAGTAAGCTTTTGTGAGACACCTCATGCAAGCAGTAACAACAAAGGGCCCTGTCCTGCTCCTCAGCTGCACCCTTTGGTGGTGTGAAGCCCAGAGTCCACTTGCAACCAGAGATATTTTCTGAGTGGTCACTTAAACATATAAAAGTCTTTAAATAAAGGAAGGGAGGAGAGAAGGACATGGAAAGGGAGCGTGTGTGTGTGTGTGTGTGTGTGTGTGTGTGAGAGAGAGAGAGAGAGAGAGAGAGGAGAGGATGAGAGGGGAAGGCTTGTGGAGGGGAAAAAGATCAATGTTGTTTGATGAGCTCAAGACTATAATCAATGCTGTACTAAACCCCAGATCAAATGAACACAACATAGATACATGAAAGTAATGCTTTTATTTGCTTGACTTGTCAATACTTACATAACAGAAATGGACACATCCCCAATTTCCTCTAAAAGTAAACATGAGAAAGAACATCCCAGAAGATTGCTCTCTTTTTTTCTTTCTTGAGTTGTTTTTATTGTGATGGTTACAGCCAGTTTGTTGGACCACTAGGAGTTGCTGCCTTCTATCGAAGGCCAGGGGCTGTCTTGGAGGGGATGGCTCCTGGGATATCCAGCAGACTCTTCACATACATTTTGTAATCCACAAATGATTCCTTGGGTGGTGAATGTGGTGAGCACAAGAATGTGCATTTTATAAAACTAGCAAATTTCCTGACATCTAAAAGGTGTCAGGTAAAAACAGACCTATAAAATATTGACACAATGCTTCAAAGAGGAAACATCATTTGAAAACCAGTAAGAAATTCTAAATAGGTTGCCATGCTTTTCTTCAATAACGTAGGAAATCTACTGAATTTGGCTCAAGAAAGCAATGCATAGATTCTCTATGTCTGTCCTCCATGACCCTTTAAAGGGAGATTTTTTTTTTTTTTTTTTTATGATCCCATAGCATCAAAAAAGGCCAAGATTGGTTGGTAGGAAGAATCAATTTAGCAGCATCCAAATCTTTTTTCAGACCCATGTCATAGCCTCTTTTTCTCACAGTCAAAGATTACAGTTAGTCTCTCATTTCACGCTGGAGTTGAACAGTATGAATCAAGAAAAAAAGATCTGTGCTCTATCTACCCTGGCAGATCACAAATCTGTTTTGGAGGAGATTGTTACCAACATATATAACTCAACACTTTTTAAAGATGGCCCAGTGAACTAAAAAATGTCAAAAAGGTTAAATGTTTTCAATTTCAACATCCAAAAAAAAATGTAAACATCAAACCTAATTTTTAATCCTTATATATATCTATAAAAGTCTTATCAAAACTTTAAAATAAAAATCTTAGAATGTTTCTCTTCATTATAGTTACAAAAGAGCTGGTTGGTCATTATTAAAAATAAAGTCACCAATATTGTTAGACCTGAAAAGTAGGGCGATGGTCCCTTGGCTCATTTCTAAGGTCTCTTCTACCTGAGTACTGGGAAACACTAGGGCTGGAATTCTAGTCCCAGTGCTGCCTCTAAATAGTGTATTGTCTTGGACAAGTTATTTACCTCCCTCATCCTTAATTTCTCCATCATTAGCATTTTCCAAACACAAGTTCCAAAAAATATTAATCTCCTAACAAAAGGATTCTGTGATCAAATTAAGTTGAAAACTGCTGCACACATCTTCTCCCCTTTAGGAGATCCAGAATGTGCATTCATATTAGTAAGGGCTCTGAGAAGTCCTGTAGTTTACTTGTTTGGCTGTGTATCAATCTTAGTTGATTGACTTCAGAATCCTGTTACATAGGATGTAATTAGCACCCTATGGACTTGACTTTGGAGAACACTTGTCCAGATCATTCTCAGGTCTCTCCTAGCACACTGATAACATATTGAAAGCACAATGCAGAGTCTCTTGACACAGGTTCTCGGGATTAGGAGTATTTAGTACCCTTGTATTGCTAAAGTGAATGCTGAATTCACACTAACTGGCTCCTTAAAGACCAATATAATTCCCTTGTTCCTAATGAAAGTCTTCGTTCAAGGAAAGTGGTCCTGAGTCTCACAGCATCTGGTAGCCACGTACAGTATAGTAAATAACAGAACTGGTCAAGAATAAGTTATCAATATAGCTTAGTTTTCCATTCTAATGTGACTTGATATTTCTCCACAGCAAAGGTTTTACCACTGTTCCCTAAAATAGTTCTGTTCGACTTTCAGTGGGCCCCTGCCCTTTCATTCCTTGTCCAGAATGAAGTCAATGCTCAAGCAGACTGTCAGCATTCTGCAGGCTGAAGAGCTGCTCTTCTAAGAAGATACCCCCAGGGCCGTACTGTTCTTCATGCTGACTTACTTCTTCAGGTGACAAGTGGCTTCCTCCAAGAACAAAATCTGCAAACCTAATAAGGTTTTTTGTTTTAAATAAAGTTAATGTTATCACAGAAAGGTTTATTTGGAAGATAACATGTTCCCTTGCTCCTTATTCTCTTTAATTAAATTTGACTTTGTATCAATAAGAGGCTGGCATTGGTGCTAAAAACACGGGTGGCTTATGTGATCCTTTAAGAGACATTCAAGGAGAAGTTAGAAAGGCAGGCAGACACAAGGCATGAGTATTGCCAAACATCATACCCACCTGTTTTCTAACCCCTTGTTTTCTCTTGTTCATATTCGCCTAGATTTATTATTTATTCATTCTTTCAGTATGTGTAGGGTAAATGTATGTCAGGCTTTTTGGCCCTCCCGCTATTAGGATTAATGATGATCCCTGTGGTCCTGAATGCATGCCTGATGGCGGACACCTGGAGTGGGGTGTGGGGATACGTAGGTGGGTACACCTGGGCTGAGAGACGAGGCTCATCAGGGTGGTGTCACAGGGATGCCAGAGGGAGCAGAATAAGGAGAAAAAGTGAGAGAGCGGAATGGAACCAGCAGAAGAGAGAGAACAAGACCATGAAAGAACGCTGGAGAGTCCAGGAAGAGTGAAGATTGGCCGGGGGCTGGGAGGCCTGCCACCCTACAGGCCCCCGGCCTGCTGTGTACCTGGTAAAATCCCAATAAAAGCCTGAAAAAGCCACCGAGGACTCCAGGACTCTCCTTTACCTGCACAGGATCACAGAGATCCTGAATTGTGCCCTTCCCACCACTACAGTATGTCAGTGCTTTCTGCCTTTGATCTTTAATTTGAGGGCATTGTTATGATAAGGCTAAGAAGCAGGGAAAGCAAAAAGGGAAAAGATACTGAGATGGAGATGTCTTTCTTGGTGAAATTTAAAAATTATTTTCCACACTGTAAGTGAGGTGAAAAGCAGATGACACTTTACATTCCACTTTCCTCCATCATAACGGCCTTCCCTATAAAACACATCAGCTTAGTATTGAGTCTGACATTAGCGGTTCCATAGTACAAGTCTGAGCAAGAAATAAAAAGACCTGTGACAGGTTCCACACTGCCTGTCACCCATGGAAGCAGTCTGTGGCATGGAAGTCCCTAGACCGAAGTATCACACTATTTTCACACTGATTCTAACCCAGGTTGTGATCCAAGCAGCCAAGCAGGACTTACTTTTTAGGGGCCTGGAGTCTGGAGACAGCCAGCCAGGACTGGAAGTCAGGCCTCTGGCAGGCGCGGCGCAGCTCCTCCAGGGCGCTGGTGGTTTCCGCGTCAGCCTGTTCCCTGTACTCATCTTCAGTGAGGTACTTAACCACCAGCTTTTCTGACGTGAACCATTTCTTCATTTTCCTAAAACATATGACATTTGGTTGCTAACTACATTTCTTAGACAGTAACAGTAATAAGGTCGTTTCGACCATGCCTATTGTACGGTAAATGGAATTCATCAGACTTTTTACTCCACTAGCCTCTGTAGGCGTGCCTGATGGTGGACACCTGGAGTATGGTGTGGGCATGCATAAGTGGGCACACCTGAGCTAGAGGCTGGGGCTAGAAGGGCGGCGTCACTCAGACAGAGGATGATTACAGAGAGGGTTAGCTGTGTGACTATAGAGCCGAGCCCAGAGAAAGCATGTAGAGATTCATGGGGGGCTGCCTGCCTGCCTCCCAGAGCCCACTGCCTGGCCCGTGCCTGCCTCCCTGTCTGGTGTGCCTGGATCCCTGAGAGAGCATTAAACCCTGAAAAATCCACCAAGGGCTTCTTATCCATCTGCTTCTTATCCATAGTGAATCTGTCCTGTGCTTGCTGGCACTAGACCTAGGTGTTTTTTATTATTGTGATTTGGAATATAGAACATACATTCTGGGTTTAATAGTATATCTTCCTCTTCCTAGGTGAACTTAAGTCATGTCCTCAGATATCTAAGGACCAATTTTTGATAAGAGATGCTAATTGTTATTTTCTTCCTTCGTGATTTCTAATCACACAACCAGACAATTAAAAGCCTGGTGTCTTCATGCTCAGCCTACTGATTTTCTTGGGCACTAATAGAAACAAGCCTCTGAAATGTCCTTTTATGGAAACACAGTAAAATCACTTGCCACTTACTTTCTAGACAGAAAAGCAGTATTTGTGGGATACCGTCTCCACCTAGTGGTGGTGATGTTGACTAAATACTAGAAAGGGATATATAAGGAAAGTGTATGTACAGTAATTTATAATAATTCCTCCTTTGCTACATGCCAAGGGACTCATGATTGGAATTTTTTCCCAATCAGAAAAGTCTTAAAGGGAAGAATCTCATAAAAGTGATAATGATGATAAAGTTTTAAAAAAAGGCTATGCCTACTGATAAATTGAAAAAAATGTTTCTAGGTGTTTTACATATAATTTAACCAGAGATTTCCAAATGAACAATCACAAGAATTACCAGAGGTTTTTTTAAAATATCTCCTTTCTTGAATTTGGGACCTGAAAAATCTTTTATCGTCTAAAGATTGTTTGGAGGCTAATGAGCTAGATTAGGGAATCACTGACAATATTTCCTTCTCCTTTTCTGAATTCCTAGCTTGGTGTCCCTGGGATTTGGAAAAGCCCTGGTCTAGCCCTGGCCTTGAGCTTTACCCACTATGTGAACTGGCTATCTCCTTAATAGTTCTGAGCCTCACTTTGCTTACATGGAAAAAAATGAAAGCAATAACCACAACCAGGTTCAATGAGATATTTTACATACAGTGAGTAGCCTACAGTAAGAATTCATAACGACAATCAAAAGGGTAGCTACTCTATCTTATTAAAATGTATTCAAGTAGATCTTTGCAAACTAGAAAATAATATACAAATCAAGGTACTACTTCTCTGCTTTATCATATAACCTTTAAGTTTCTGTTTTATCCCCTATTTATTCACAGAATTATTCACTAGCAAAAACTGAGGAAATATTACATTTTAATTATATTTGTTATCAACAGCATACACAGTGTGGGTTCCTATGAGTTGGCCCTAGCTGGTCACTCATGGGCAACTTTGCTATCTACAAATCACAGGAGAGAATTTGCTATCTACAAATCACAGGAGAGAATTTTTTGACTGCCATCTAAAAATCACAGGAGAGAATTCTTTGACTACCTACAGAGTATAGCCTGTATCATGAGGCAGGTAGAGGTTACTTCAACTTTCTATACTTTCAAAAGGTTTAAGTTTTAAAACCTAAGAGAAAAGAAAGTCCTTAATAAGAATAACACCTTTCCATCATTAATGATTGATTTTCTGTTCCTCTCACCTCATACACACAATAAATACCTAATGGAAGGAAGTGCAGACAAAACTAGAAATTCTAGGCAATCTGGGCCCAAGTTAATTTGTTACTGATTTCAGTGAATTCTAGAAAAGCTGTAATTACCTGGTAATTGCAAGGCACCTCTGAAAGACTGCTGAAGACTAGTCATGGAGATGGGATCAAATGCTTAAGTTCTCTACCCTCCTCCCCTCACTGAAGGTAATCTCCAGATGAAATATAGTTAATTATGAGATTAAATATGACATATCCAAAACTTTCCCCAAACAATAAATAAAACTAGAGTTCAAAAAGTCAAATTTACAAGGAAAGAAAATATACACACCAACTCATATAGCTGAATACCGTCCATGGGTAGTGCAGCATCCTGGATGACAGCATGAGAACAATAGCTATATACGCAAACTGGGGCGCCGTGACACCAGAATAGACCAGAAGCAGGGACAGGAGCCGCAGAGTCCATGTCAGACGGTTTATGTCCCTCTTGTCAATAAGTGGCCCGTGTTTGTAACAAACAGCAAAGCTGAGAAATCCAATTATCAAGACATAGGCTGTAAGAGCAAAAGAATGTAAAGTTTACATTTTTTTTTTTTTTTCAGATTTACATTATCTGAACTTGCAAAAGTTATGTGGAAAACCTGGCAGAGCTTTGACTTAAGAACTGAGAATAGAGCAGAAAACCCTCATTTTCATTTTCTTTTTCCAATGAAGGCTGAGGAATGATAAGACTAGTTCATTTTTTCCACATGAGAGTCCAGATTGACTTTTGTAATATTTACGAATGTACAATAATTAATTACTATGATATATAAGTCTATGTGCTTTCTAGTCCCATTCCTACCTAGACAAACATTATCATGGTTGTTTTGGTCAAATCTAAGCCTCAGCATCTCTTGCAATCAGCTCAAACCCTATTTTTAATTTTTACTTTCTGATCACCAAAGGAAAATGTAATTTTACAGAGGGACCAGGCTGTGGCCTTCCTAATGCAGCACTCGGATTCAGCAGCACTAGTGGAGGGAGGATAAGATTCCCTCAAATGCAGGGCAAGATGCCACACGTCCCATGTGGGAGCCAGTGCACAGTGCACACCACCTCTTCTTAAGCCACCAAAAGTGATTCCTTTGTATCTCAGAGCTGATGTACAGTTTACAGAAAATATAGGGGAGAAAGGCACAAGCTAAGCTATACCACAAAGGAGTAATCAGAGAAAACCATAAAGAGGGATGTTGTTTAGGACAATTAGCTTGAACCCTGCAGGGCAGCACCATGATGGAAAAAAAAAAAAAAAAGGAGTGTTATGGATTAAAAGAGACTTAAAGGACATAAGAGATGCAAAATGTGTTCTGGACTATATCCTTGCTTATACAAATCAACCACCGAAGACATCTAGGAAATTTGAACTTGGCCTGGGTAATAGATGTTTTTATGTAATTATTAACTTTATTTTAATAGTTATTTAACCAAAGAGGTCTTGTTTTATTTTTTAATGCTCAGTGACATATTTAGGTGCATATGCCATGAACATCTATAATTTATTTTAAAAGTACTTTAGAATAAAAAGAAAAATGATCAGAAAATGAAATCTTCAAGTAAAAAAAACTTTTCTGGGTGAGTGGACAAATGTGAGAAATTTGATGCTAGTTTGGGGAAAATCTATTCTTCTAGTCGCCATTATTTTCCAATTAAAATAACTTTTTAAGGAACTCTCCTATATTGCTGGTGGGAGTGCAAACTGGTCCAACCACTATGGAAAGCTGTATGCAAGTTCCTCAGTCTACTAAAAATGGATCTTCCATATGACCCAGCAATTCCACTCCTAGGGATCTATCCAAAAGACACAAAAACAATGATTCAAAAGAATACCTGGATCCCTATGTTTACTGCAGCACTATTTATAATAGGTAAAACCTGGAAACAACCCAAATGCCCAAAAATAGATGACTGGATCAAGAAGATGTGGTGGGTGGCGCAGCGGTTGAGCACTGGGTTGTGAAGCTGCCCGCAGCCTCTGCAGTGCCTGTTCGATCCCCGACAACTGGGTGAGGGTCCCACATGGCGCGCAGACCTCTCCTGCCGCCCGCTGCTCCCCTCAGCAGTGTACTTCGGTCTTTCTGCCTGCTCAGCTCTCCCCTCTGGCTCTGGTGAATTCTCTCACCCTCCCGCGCTTCTGACTGTACCCAGTGCTTGTATAAATAAATAAATAAATCTTTTAAAAAAGAAAAGATGTGGTTACATGTACACAATGGAATACTATTCAGCAACCGAAAAGATAAACTAATGCCATTTACAGCAACATGGATGGAGCTAGAAGGAATTATGCTCAGTGAAATAAGTCAGAAGGAAAAAGAAAAATATCAGATGGTTTCACTTAAAGGAAGAATATAGAGGAACCAAATAAGACATCAGGGGACAAAAAGAATAACAGTACAAAACACAACAAAGCAAAAACATACAATTATAAATCAGAGATATACTGCAGGGGAGGAGGCAGGAGAGGGATCAGAGGGAAGAGCACAGGACACTGTGGTGAGGGTGCACGGGTGAACTAAAGGCAATTCTATGAGGGCTACACCTGAGGGGTGGGGTGGAGGAGCAAACATTGTTTAAAAATGAACAATGATGTAAAATATACATTAATAAAAATTAAATTAAAAATAAAATAAATAACTTTTTAAAAGTTGTTTTGCATGAAACAAGGAGAATGAATGGATTCTTAATAGCCTCTCTGTTTCTGAAAAATCAAGTCTCACTAGTCATTTATATTTAGCATTTCTCACCTTACATACTGACTATCCTAAGCAAAAAAAGTCACATTTTAGAGAAACTTTTTCATTACAAGTTATATGTAGTTAGAGCTTAACCACAATTCAAAAGTATATTCAGTCAAAAGGAATACATACTTTCTGTTCTTTTGATCTTTAGTATAGACAACTAAGAAAAATGTCACAGGGAAGTAGGCTAAAATGAGATCCAAAGAACTAAAATATTATTTTTAACAACATTTCTCCTTAACTCAAAATGAAAAGTCAGATGTTATAGAGAAATGGATGTCAAAAGAAAGCCTCCAGGTATACTTCAGCTTTACCAATAACAGCATTTTTTTTTAAATTTACCTACCTAATATATATATTCTGTTTTCATACGACAGCCATTTCTGATCTTCCATCAACTGGTATATAACATAAACTGAAGCAAACCAACAACCAACCATTAGCGCCCAAAAGGTGCTATACTGTGTGTGGAAGAAAATAAATGACACATTTTTTGGTTCATTCACTCTCATAAAAAAATAGAAATAAACAAATAAACCCTCCGAGTTAGAAATTACTACATCCAACTGTACTGAAGCCAACGGAAGATTCTCCAGTGTTTCCTTAAAAGTCAAGGGACCAACAGGTGGGACTTGCTGGAATGCTGACTCTCAAGCCTCGCTGCAGACTCCTGAATCACATTCTGCATTTCAACAGGATCCCCTGGTGATTTGCATGTATAGTGAAGTTGGAGGAGCACTGTTCTAAAGAATAAATTTATCTCAAAATAAATACTGGTGTTGCCAGCTTTAACCAGAGTAACTGCAACATTATCACCGACAATAATTATTCTCAATTAAGTACAAAGCATTCTTTTATTGAAGGTGTTTCAGAGAACTAACAATAATGGAGAAATGCCTTATTGTAGCAACGCTGTTATCCAAGGCCCGATGGTTCAGCATCACGAGTCCTCAGTTTTGCCATAAAAGACACTCAGCATATAACTAGCCCTAGTCACTCCTAAGAAAAACTAAAAGGGTCAAAAAAATTATCACTGTAACCTAATACTTAAGCCTCCATATACTAACAAACAAAAATGGAACTCTAGAAAAGGATACATTTAAAGTCAGTTTATACAATCTTGAAATATAGTTGGAATCTGCTATCATCAATATGAATTAATTTTGATGCATTTTTCATGTCTACAAGATCACAGTTTACATGTTTCCATGCATTTATACATAGCATGCTTACCTTAGGAATGTGCCTTTTTAACAGCAGCAGGACAAAGACGAATATCATTAGAATACCTAGCACAGTCCCAGCAGAGTAATAAAAAATAGGGCTTCTGTCAAGGCAAGCAGATAAAAGTCATTTAAATGCCAAGTTGCACTTTCTGTGTTAAAAACATGTTTAACTTAATGACAGTAGTCATAAAGAATATTAAGAAGAGAAAACTCAGAAGGGAGCTTTGATTACATCATATACTCCAAAAAAATGGAATCTGTACTTGAAATTTATGGTATATGGCTTGCCACTAACTCAGAATATGTGAGTTATCTTGTATGTTTAGAATTTGGTTCAACAATACTTATGGGCACCTATCATGTAGCAGGCACTTGTCTGAGACCTTCACATGCTTTCAAAACTACCCTGGGAAACAGCTATTCACATCTAGGGAAGGAGACTAAGGCATAAAGAATGTGAAGACCGGGCCTCCCTGGTGGTGCAGGCGGTCAAGCGCCACACTGTGAAGCTGTCCTCAGCTCTGCAGTGTGGGCTCAATCCCGGCCAGTCAGCCGGTGAGAATCCCACAAGGCGAAGAAGACCTCTCTCGTCTCGCTCGCTGCTCCCCTCAGCAGTGTATTTTGTCAGTCTGCCTGTTCTGTTCCCCGCGCTGTCTCTGGTGAATCCTCTCACTCTCCCGTGAATCTGGCCTGTACCCCGGTTCTTGTATAAAAATAAATAAATCTATTAAAAAAAAGAATGTGAAGATCTTCCTGAGTCAGTGTCGGGCTAAAATGAAGGATTCAGGCTGTACATACAGCCCAGTTGCTCTGAGACTGTGTTTACTCTTCCAGCTTTGGAAGAAACACTAGATTTTTAAAGACCATTAATAGCATTAAACATGATTGATTACATGACTAGGAAAAGCTCTAAAATGAACAATATGAAGAACAGCAAGCCAAGAAATAAAATTATATTGGAAAGAGAGTCCTTCTTCATAAGAAACAAAATATTAGGATAACATGCTTATCCAAAAGTCAGCTATTTGTTAAATTCAACTTTCTTTCTTTTTTTTTTTTTTTTAAGAGGCATGCATTATTTATTTATTTAATTTATTTATTTGTTTGTTTGTTTATACATGCACTGGGTACAGTCAGAAGCTCGGGAGGGTGAGAGAATTCACCAGAGCAGAGTGGGGAGCAGAGCAGGCAGAAGGACCGAAGTACACTGCTGAGGGGAGCAGCGGGCGGCAGGAGAGGTCTGCGCGCCATGTGGGACCCTCCTCTGGTGGCCGGGGAGCAGCCGGGGAACGAACCGGCGCTGCAGAGGCCGCGGGCAGCTTCGCAACCCAGCGCTCAACCGCTGCGCCACCGGGGAGGCCCTAAATTCAACTTTCTGTATTAGAACCACAAATAGAAGGCAGCTTGAATGTAATAGAGAGAGCAAGGCAGTTAGCACCAGTAACCCTGAGTATAAATCTCAACCCTGGCAAGAACTGGTCATTTGATGATGGATGTTGAGCTTTAATCCATAAAGTAAGAAAAATAATACAGAGCTCATATGGCTGTTAAGAGGATCAAACATAAAGGTAATGTATATTAATACATAATATAAAATAACGGATGAGAGCACTCTCTAACATACACACCAAGCTAGACAAAGAACTGTTAGTGGTTTTAAAGGCCTTTCCAGCACAATCTTCAGACCTATTGTTTGCAAAACCTAAAACAAGAACTACAAAGTATTGTAGAAGTATTGAGTATAGGGTCAGAAAAATCCTCTACACTTCTTTATTCAGAGGGTTCACAAAGTGGCCTCCCTGGTGGCACGAGGGGTTAAGCACTGCACTATGAAGCAATCTGCAGCCTCTGCAGCAAAAGTTTGATCCCCGGCCGGCCAGGGAGAAACCACATGGTGCAGCAGACCTCTCCTGCCTCACCCGCTGCTCCCCTCAGCAGTGTGTTTCAGTCAGTCTGCCTGTTCTGTTCCCTACTCTGTCTCTGGTGAATCCTCTCACCCCCGACATCTCTGGCCTGTACCCAAGCTCTTGTAAGTATTAAAAAAAAAAAAAAACAGAGGGTTCACAAATTAAAAATGAATACTTACTGACTCAAGGTCTTTGCGTAAAAGAAGAGGAAAACACCTGCCGCAAACACAAGGAAGAGTTTGAAGTCCACAACTGGAGTAAAAAAGACACACACAACAAAGATTTGGTATCACTGTAATGGCAGTAAAAGAAAAGTCAGTTTATTTGAAAGGTCATGTCAAAAAAATCGAAACCCAGAAAGAGAAGTACAATAAAAACAGACTTACTACTTCGATTCACACTCATTGTACAGAAAAGCATCTTCCCAACAGGCTTCACGGAGAAGCACACTGTCTCCTCACATGGATTGATGGTTAGGGTTATTTCATTAGATGTCTTTGGTGTCCAAAATTTATGAATCACACATTTAAAAAAAGATAGAATGGTTTCTGGATACTGACAATTGTATCTGTCTGTGATATATACAATATTGAACAGGTCTGGACTAGTAATTTTCACCTACAAAGCAAAAACACATAAATCATATATAGGTATGATTTATATATATATATATAAACTATATGATCTATTTATGTAAATATATATGTTTAAAAACTTCATAGAAGCTTCTTAAAATCATGAGTAAAGAGGAGTAGAGAGAGAGCCAGATTGGCTGAGTAAAGAAACACGTGATCACAGCGTGTGAAGAATGTTCTGATCCCAGGGCTGGACACACACCTGTGCTTATTCTAAACACCAGGCACAGACAATTCTGAAAGTGGAGTTTTCTTCCTCTGAGTTGTGGCTGACTTAACTCCCTCTTCCAGCAGGCTATTGTGGCCAAGGGGTACACAGACAAGGATGAGATGGTGGCAAACTAAATGGTTACAAACAAAAGCAGGGTAGGGTTTATACCTTCTACCACTTTCTACTGTGATAGAGAAAAAGTACTTCCTTCTGAGCTCATGTAATTCAGGCTTTTTTCATCAGACCTCCTGAAAGAGGACCAGAAGCCAACCTCAGATTCTATTCACTTCTTACAACAAAGCATAAGCTACAAAGCCAAGCAGATGATGACAACCCAGTGATGATTAAATGACAACCCTGCTATGACTTTCGTCCCTATTTCTCTTCTTGTCCAAGAGTAGGGCAAGCCTGAAAAGAGTGAGAAAGCCAGCTTTGAGTTATTACCAGCCATCTGTCAACCTGCCCCTCATTTTCTTGCACTTTAGCTACTGGCTAACCGTTGCTCTCTGTGGCCCATATGGCTTTACTTCATACTTCTTAAGGACTCAATATACACATCAAACTCCCTCCAAAACCCTGGTCTCTAAGTTCCTCGATCTACTTCCCTATCATGCTCCTGTCCTCCATCCTCCCTCAGCTAATCACTCCCATGGCCACACTCTGAAACTTATGAGTCCAAATTGCAGCCTCTCTACAGGTTGCATTTCCTGCACTTCCACTGGCTGGTTGGTCGCCACCTCCTATCTTTCCAAGATATTCCTTCTAATAGCCCACCCCCAACAAGTCTTTAACCACACTGTGGATCAAGCATCTTTCACTCTCCTCAACCCCTTGATGTCTTCAGTCCCTTCTTATCCAATTAAATTCTATGATCAATCATTATAAATCATCCCCCTTCCTGTACCCTTCACCCCACTCTAATCCTCTTGCTTTATCATACTCACTTGCAAAACCCAATTCTCCCCTTATTCCATTCTTGAATTTCTACATCTCCGAATGTGCTGGAGAAACAGTGTTTCAAACAGTGGTCTCACGTCAAACCCATGACTGCGAACCTGAACGCTGCCCAGTCCTCTGTAGTCAGTGCTCCTCTCATCAACCATGATTTCACAACTTCTCCTTCCTCAGTATCCCAACACCTTCTCCTCCTCCACTCTCTTGGCTGATAATCCTTCCCACTCCACTGAAATGTAAGAAATCAGAGGAGAATGTCAACCAGTTCCTATCCCCATGTCCACCCACCTCGCAGCACCAGCAGGCACATGTTCTGCTTCCTGTTTTGGGGAGAATTTCTGCCACAGAGGAGATTTACATACTCTGTTCTAAAGGCAAGTACCCGACTTGTGTACTGGATCTTATCCATCTCTGCTTACCCAAGGATATGCCATTAAAACACACACACACACACACACACACACACACACACACACACACACCCCTATCCCCCCATTTTCCTCTGTAGCTATCATCCCATTTCCTTGCTTCCTTGGAATAAAATTCTTTTTGAAAGTTTACCATACTTGAAGTTTCCAGTTCCCCTCCTCCCATTTTCTCTTCAACCTGCTTCAATCAGGCACCATTCCCAAAAGGCTGCCCCTGACAAGGTCACTAGTATCCTACATGTTGCTAAATTACGTGATGGATTCATTCTCAGACATCCTATTTGGTCCATCAGCATTCAGCAGTGTTGTTCATTTTCTTCTTCTGTTACACTTTCTTCCTGGGACTTCCTGGGTATCTCCTTCTTCGATTGTTGTTCTTTTTCTCTCTTCTCTACCAACCCCTTCCACTCTCTGGCCCATTAATAGAAGACTGACCCAGGCTCAGTTGTTGCTTCTCTTCTTTTCATCCAAACCCACTCATTAGGCTCATAGCTTTACGCTCCATCCTTAAATATGCATCACTGCTTAATTTTGCAAAAGAAACACAGGACAGATATGCCAGTGTACTATCCACTATATATACCAGAAAACTGGCACCTACAGGTGTCAGGTAGGAAATGTGTAGAGGGATGGGGGGAGTGATACTTCTCCTCCAAGAATTCCTTTGTGTAGACCTTTAACTTTGTGTAGACTTTTGACGTATATTATCAATAATATAACAATTCAACATCATATATCAATAATATAACAACATCATATTTCAATAATATAACAATTCAACATCTGAATTCCACTTCCTAGCTATTCCCTTAGCCTAGAACACACTTTCTCCAGACACCCTCCATGAACTCTTTCTCAAATGTCACCTTTCCAATGAGAACTATTCCAGCCACACATTTTATTACTGTAATTTGCCCCCCACCTCCCTTGTTTCATATTATTTTCTATTTTTTTCATAGCACTTATTAGTTTTATAATTTTCTTCTCTATATTTATGGCAAAAATCTACCCTACCCCCACTCCCAAAATTGTAAACCTCACAGGACTAGGGATTTATTTTGTTCACTGATATATTCCAAGAGCCTAAAATAGTTCCTGACACTTAGTGGTGCTCAATAAATAGTCGTTAAATCTTGAATGAAGGAAAGTACTAGGCAATTCAGAGTAACTATTATCTTGGCCATATCTGGCACTGGAGCTAACTCTAGAATTTCTATATTGAGGGGTTTGGGATGGCAATTATTTTGGAAAGTAGGAGGGTGGGTGTTGTCTTGTGTCTAAAGAGCAAGTACACTGTACTCAAATAGTCTGTTTATTTGAGTTTTTTGGAGTAGGGCCAATGAAGAGCATGGAGAGTTGAAGTCCCCCCTTAAAGTGACTCCTGAGTCACTGTGTGTGTTCCCCAAGTCAGCTTTCACAATGATATATAGCTCTATGTCATACAAAAGTTACCTTCTACTCTTCAAGTAGTATATTTTAATTCCCTGTACCCAAGAAATGATTTAAAAGTAGATGCTTACCTGCATAGTTGACCATATGTATTTCCACTCTATTTGGGAATTTTGATAGTAGCAGTAACAGTTTGACTTGGGAACTTTAATTAAATCCATTTCCTTCAAAGCTTCACACTTTTGAGCTGAGAGAGAGAACAGGAAATATATTTCTTAATATTAAGTTGCCCATAATGTTATCTTTTTTCTTTTCTATTCACAGATTTAACAATAGCCATTTTTATAGTCTATGACCAATAAATTCTTCTACATGGTAATTATAGTCCTTTATTCTTTCCAAGCCAAAAGGAGACAGACAAAAATTTCTGGTCCAATGTGAATACTCTTATGAAATATGCAGGGCACTATAAGAGCACAGAGAAAAAAATACTTCTTCAGTCCTCAAGTAGAGGGCAAGAGTTGAGGACAGCCCCAGAAAAGAGGAAATGTGAATGAGGCACTGCAGGATAAATTGGGGGCAATGATGGGTTGGAGGCGGTGTGTACAAAACCATACGGATGACAGAAGTGGTTCAGCAATTCATTGAAGGAGGGAGTGTAGTGAATACAAGAGGACATTTCAATACCTGCAGCTAGAGAGGGAAGCAGTGGTCACTGTTACACTAAGTTATGTTTCATGCTGAAAGCAGAGCATTGAAGGATATTAGGTAGGTATCAAAGTCTCAGGAGGAAAAGTGTCAAGTTAAACCTCAAAAGGTTTAAGTGAAAGGAGTTCAGCGGAGACGTGGGCAGGGTCAAGGCATTAACAAGGCACTGTGCACTTCCCAGGAACCAGCAACAACAGGAAGTCTCTAACATCCCAGGCCTGAGATGGCAAAAGGATAACCACTGCCAGAACTTCCATGGAAGTGGAGTGAGGGTATGGGCGTCTCAACCTCTCTCTCCTCCTGCCCTCCTGATCAGCGCTTCTCTTTGGCCAAATCTAACAGGAAGCCAGAGGGCAAAGTCCAGGTGATGCAGTCCCCACCGCTCAGCTTCCAGGCCTGCAGCAGCAGTCAGGGGGCAAAGGATGGCTCCATGGGAACAGAGACTAGCCAGTTCAATAAGGAAGTGACAAGATTATTTACTGTCATGTTTTAGAAAGCGCATTCTATAAGCAATGTGAATATTAGCCGGGAAGACAGCTGAAAGCAGAACCACTAAGGAGGCTATTGAAGCAATGTAGGCAAGAAATGGACTGAGTAGGAAGAAGAATAGGTTAAAGGGGGTGTAGGAAGCAGAATCAACAGACTCTGGAGATTCATTACTGGAGGGAGAGCTCAAAGATGATGGAAGATTCTGGTGAGAGGAGAGATGGTGCTGTCCTTTATCCAGCTAAAAAATACTGGAGAAAAAAGAAAGCTTGCCTGGGAAAAGAGGGATGAGTTCATTTCCCACAATCTGAATTCTGGTTGGCAAAACTAAGTGAAGACAAGATAGGCTGTGCACAGAAATGTGATTGGGACAGATGTAGATGTGTATGTGTATTTGTATGTCATATAAATATTATATAATACATACATCAACTAATACATGAGACAACACAACATAATATCTGGGGGGCGGGGAAGGTGGATATTTCCTGTAATGTTTTAGAAAGCATTCTATAAGCAAGGTGAAAATTTACAGAGATAAATACGGTAACTGACACAAGAAAATTATAAAGAAATGGGGTTCTTCCATTCTGTGACTGCTCCTGCATTTGAATTTAAAATGAAGTGAAAGTCATAAATTCTTCTGGATTCAGGACAGGGTGTCACCATTACATCTGCAAAATTGGAAAAGGGCAGGGAACACTTATGGGCACACAGAGAAATGGCCTGATGCCCAACCCCTGACTCCTCTAAGGAAAGTGTGGTCAGCTGTTTCTCCAGAAGAACCTGAAATAAAGCTAGCACAACCTGCTATGCCAAAGATGGGGAAAGATTGGGTAACCACTAATAGCTAGTCAACAATTATATCCATTTAGAGAATAATATTGAATAAGCCCAGATAGGTCCTTGTCCTGGCTAAACACATCCTTAGTGTTAAGCTGGAAAAAGGTGATGACAGACTTGGGGAAAGGACACTGCAAAAACCCACAACCTCCTGAAATACAACCTCATAAGCCAGGGTTCTCAGGTGGCTACACAAAGCAGGAGAGTTACACAAGTATCCAGTATCTTCCACTGTGACACTGACAAATCATTTCATCTTTACTCTGCACATTGTGATATTTATTCTTAAATATACTAACAAACATGCATAGCCTGAGAGTCTGATTGGTGAATACAGGTTAGAGGCAGAACTCAAAAAAGTTATGAGAAGGAAGCTCTGTAGGTCCTGTTAAATATAGGATACTAAAAAAATAAACTAAAAATTCAAATTTAGTATCCTGTAGATTTGAAACTAGATGAAAACTAGACCTCTGTTGATAACTATAATATAATATATAATGTAATATATACAGATGCTGATTTATAAGGCTGGGCACCGAAGCCTATATAATGCTATAAACCAGTGTTATTTCAGTTTTTTTTAAATGTATCCTGCATCTGTTTATACATAAGAACCAAAAGCAGTATGCAGAGTCAATACTACCAACACACAGCGATCATGCTCAGGCATATTCTTAGACGCATCACAGATGCAAATTATATACCTGGCCAGAGGCTGCATAGCAAAAGGGCACTGGCCCAGACATCTAAGGGCTGGCAGCTAGTTGTAGAAAAGATATTGCCAAAGAAAACGGGGTAGAACCTGGAAAAGCCTGAGCAGTTTTGAGGCAGCACATGCACACACATGCGCGCACACACAAAACATGCACACTTTATATTTAAAAGCCCTCAGCTGGTGAGCAGCAGAGGTCAGATTAGAAGTGCTTTGAATTTGCAGGATAGGACAGCCAGAATTGAGAACTTTAAGCTGCGAGTGCTCAACAGAAGAGAGGAATTCCTACCTGTTTCTAAGGGGAGCATATTTCACCAGGGCAGGTAAGGAGCGTGGAGTCTAAGGTCCACAAACCCCAGCAGTCCCGCTAATGCCCAACCAGTTCTTTCTTCAGGGTTATTTCTAATACCACACATGTGTGCAATGCTAGGGGGTCTTATTTAAATTGCAAGGTAGTAACTTTTTTTTGCCTGCTGCATTTTAGCATTAGATTTTAATAGTCACATAACAGGACTCTATACTGAAAAATGAAAAAGAACATAAAACATAAGATAAGCATGTATCGCATGTTTTTTTAAAGATGGTGGTATATCGCATGTTTTTTTAAAGATGGTATAAGATATAATTACATAATGTATCATTTCATATGCATAAAGTCAAGGACAGAAATGATAGAAAACCCAAAAATGATTATTCATTTTAACACATTAGTAGTTATAATCACAAGGGCATCTTTCTTCAGCCTCTTGGTTAGCTTGGGTCTTAAGACACAGACTAAATTCATTTTAGTAGCAATTATATGACTTCTGCAGTTTATGCTGACAGAAGCAATTATGATGAACATTTATGTTCTTGAATACTGAAAATATGCTGTGAAAATGATAAGGAGCTTCTTATTTGAAGCTTAAAGGGGATTTTACAGGCTTCAAGGAGGCTATTTTCACAATTCTGCCACAATTCTGTCAGATTCCCCAATTACGACTTAAGAGACAGCTTACAAGGGCTTCTCCTGTGGCTGCACCCAGGTCGCTCTCTGCATTCCCTTTTCCTACATGGGCTTCACTTTGAGATGAATCAACTCTCCTAAGCGGGCCTCTTGTTAATGGCCTGAGAGAATATCCTCTTCATGGGGTCTGAGCTTTGTAAGCAAATGCTACCTTCAGATGAGATTTTTTTTTCATTTGATCCTGACTGTTCCGTAAATCATTTGATACCTGTAGCTCCTAAGATAAAAGCCAAATGATGCCATATATGTATAGTGCAATGTTTGAATTCAGGAATAAAAGCTTCTCTGTTGTCCAAGCTACTGTCTGCTTGCACTTGGATTACTGTAATTGTCTTCTATTTTTCTTCCTGCATCCAGAGCTAGCCCTATTCCCCTACAATCCATTCTCCAATCAGCACATGGATGGTTTAAAAACATCAATCGAAACACATTATTTAGGCAGCTCTCCTCCCAAGACAGCCTGCCTGTGACTCTACACGTCCTTCTCTTTTTTCTTTTCTCCTTTTCCTAATAAACCAGTCCTTATAAAATGTAAAGAAAAAACCAAAACAAAACAAAAAACCCCATATTACCCCCAACCCGGAAAAAAAAAAACCCCACATTATTTACCTGCTCAAAACCCTTCAGTGGCTTCTCATAACACTCATAATAAAATCCACATGCCTTTCCAAGGATCTAGGTGCCTCTGGCTTTTCTCCTCTACTTCTCTTGGCTACTCCAGCCACACCAACCCTTCTGTCCTCAAGATTCCACCCCCCCCCAAACCTCCAGTTTTCCTGCCTGCAGTTTCCCTGGCCTCAACTAGATTCCTCAGATGCTGGCAGAGCTTGCTTCTTCCAATTGATATATGAGCTTGGATGTCAGAAAGCCACTGTCTAAAGTAGTATCCACCAGTCACTTCCACAGGCTTTCTTCTGACTATGCTTTACTTTTTCTTCATATCACATATGTACTTACTAGTTCATACTCATTCTCTTAATGAAGTTAGGGACACTACATATTCATTATGTATCCCCAGCATTTAAATATTTGTCCTTTGTATGAGTGCTGTAATTTGACAGGATTTGTGGGTGATTCAGGCATGCGCTGGTCAGGCCAGTGAACGCCTGGCCAATCTTTTAAGAGCCTGGCCAGTGCCAATCAGCATCATAAAAGGTGGTACATGCTGGTACGCACCTTGAAGCAACATGATGTAACAGGACACCCTCTCAAGCCTGTGCCATTGCTACCACACCTACAGAACCCACAGGCTACTCTGCCCCCTAATCACACCATCCTCAATATGCCCATAACACCCTTTGGGCTAGAGACCCTTTTCTCTCTCCTCAAGGGAGAGAGAAGGCAGGAAGAAACAAGAGGCACCAATACGCTTGTTTGTTACTTTTTTTACTCATAATATATGGTACATCAATGTTCTCTATAAGGGATCTCCTGGTTAGAAGAAAATAATTGCTCTGAATTTTACTTCGTTAACCTGATTAAGTAAAGTATGGATGGAGACAGTGTTTGGCTACCTACAAAAACACTACTAAACTCAAGTCTCAGTGTCTTCCCTAAATGTTTCTAGAGTGGCTTCTGCTGTCGAGGTAAAGTTAATATCAAATTTATACACTACACAAGACATTATTATAGACAATGTGTCAGTATCCTATAGTGACTTGTGGCTGCCAACCATTGTTATTACCTCTCCCCTGATGTGAATGGATTTCAAGCAACCCATACAAGAATTCCTAAATATTCAAGGAAGTAGAAACTCAGACACAAGAAGCCACAAAGGCTAGCTCCAAGTGAGTTCATGTGACCCTTAAGCCATGGGCGAGTGGTTGCAGTAGGCATTAGGCAGTGACTTGTGATGATCAAGATTGTTATTGAGGTTGGCCTACTGCCTGCCTATAGAGAAGAGAACCAGATCTTTTTATCTTAGATTGCTAGAAAGATTATGTCTTTCTTCCCTTCAGCAATCTTCTAGAGACACTTCATTGTTCTGTTTCTATTTCCTCTATCTTCACCTGCAGGTGAGAAATAGAAAATGTAGACCACTTGACTCCAACTCTGTGGCCACATGCCCTGACACTGAAGGCTGGAGAGCTGCCTTAATGTCTGCTGGTGCCATTTATTCACACAGACCCCAGTTTTGCTGGTCCATTCTTCTAGGATAGAATTTCCTTGTGGAAGAAGTAAGGAAACTCAAATATTTCATACCAACAACAAAATCCTTTAACAATGCAATGCAGAAAACAAAAGGGAATTTCTAGGGATTCATAAAAATGCAAGATAATAATTCATTCGGACAGAAAAGTACAATGCCTGCCAGGGAGAACTACTAATTCCATCTGTGGCTGAAATATTTCTCTAGCCTGGAGGGTGCCCCATAATCTACATATTCACTTCCCAAAACTGATTCAGATCAGGAGAAAATCCTGGAAGCATGGCTATAGCAGCTCTGCCTTATCTTCTAGGCACCTAGGAGTATGTTCCAGCCAATCCCAAATGTTGTCCTCAGTATGGCCATCCCAATAATACAGTATTTAGTAGGCCATGGAATGGGTGTCACCTTCCTTAACTTCTTTCTGTCCTTGGCAGGCTCTCTGGATCCTTTCAATAAACCTGACTTGGAGAGAACAATATATTCATGGACAGTTGTGCCCAAAATGCTAAGACAAAACAATTTTTTACATTATCAAAGCAGCTTTTGATAAGCTTAACCAATGAGATGCTTTTAGTTCAAGCACCACTCAATTTATAGTGCTTATCTAAGTTTTAAATTACATTTTATATGAAAAAGGAATAGCTAAATAACGCCTACTTTAACAAATTAAATTTAAAGTTACTTCTTTGTTAATACTTTTGTCATTTATTAGTTTTCTTAAGTGTATAGAGGTATATTTAAATTAATAAGTTTAGTCATACATAAGGTAAAAATATTCAGTCAAAATTTCAGAAAAGGGCAGGTAGTACTTAAATCTACTTAAAGAGTATGCTAAAAATAAAAAGCACAAACACCTAAAATCTTAGCAGATCTTAAACAATCTCCAACACAAAAATTTTTCAGCAATGTTCCTCATGAAAATTTAACCTTACGTGCCCCTCACATGGGAAAAAAAAATCTTCAGATAAAATTATAACAGAATAATAAAATCACTTATTAGATTGCCATTTTCCCCATTTGGCCTATAGCTGCTTTTCTTTTGTGACAAGAAAAACAATTTTTAAAAAGGCCAAAAAAAAAAAAAAATCAAGGAAACTTAACTCCTGAGAATTCAAACAGAAGTAGTATTTACCTTGGCAATATTTTGGAAATTCACATTTTTAAAGGTGTCAGCATATAGCACCAAAGACACAAAGGTAAATTTTTATTTAACCCAGTTGTTTAAGTTGACTTGAATATAAATCTTGGTTTTCATTTCTCCAATTACATACATATATAATGAAACTGAAATCATCACATGCTAATACACATTCAGGTCTGATTTTAAAATCAACTATTGATTTGTCGTCTTCTTCGGAGATGAATGTTAAAGCTGTGGTTTCAAATGGCTTACTGCTACAATTCAAGCCTGGGAATTCATTGCAGTGACCTGAGCTTTGTCTCAAGATAACACATGACTTCTGGGGATCTCGCCCACTACTTGCAACTGTGGGTGACTTATTAATTTATGAATTTTCATCTTCAAACTCTGATGCACAACTGAAAAAAAAAATTATTAACTACCAAACCAACAACTGTGGGTGACTCTTGGTTTGCAATTTCTCTTTCCGTTCAACGAGGCAACTCCTTGCCTCTTCCACGCCAACTGCCTCTGACTTTCCTAGAAATAGGGTAACAGAGAGCTGGTCTCAAGTCTAGATGTTCTCTATTCCATGGAAGGGTGAGTATTTGTTCAAAACAGAGTTTTAGACCAGGAAATTTCATCTAATCCAAGTCTCTCACATTATGCATAGGCCCTATGTTATGAAAACACCAGCTCTTTGATCTCAGGGTTCCTCATAAAACCACACTCTTGAAACAGCAATGGTTCTTAGACCTAGTCTAGTCAGAGTTCCAACATGGTGTCACTGGCACATCACAGGATCCAGGATGCTTCACAATCCTAGTTGTTAAGAACTATCTGGAATGGCAAGTGTTGTCATTTTTCTACATATATACATATATACATATACGTTGCCATTTTTCTTAGCCTGGGCTAGAATTTTATCAACTCAGTGAGCATTCTATGTGTCAAGCAAACAAACTCTGATAAGCATTTGTGTACATCTTTGATTAACAAAATAGAGAAGTGAACTATTAACACTAAATGTGATGACACAACAACTTGAAAAACAATGGGGTCGTTGAAGGAAAAAAAAAAGGAAAATATTGGAAACCATTCAGTAATCGGACATCTTCATTTTACTTATGAGAAAACTACAGCCAATAAAAATTACGTGCCTGGACCAAGGTAATTCGACAAGTGGGTGGCTGAATATAATGACTGAACTAGACACAACATTCTGGGTGCTGGTCCAGGGTTACTTACAAATTTCTGGTTGTTGCCATATTCATAAGACCTCCTTAAACAGATTTGTGAATTAATTTTTCATCACTATGTACTGGTTACCTTTCATACCAGTTACATTTCTAATTACTTTCATCCTTAGACAAAGAACTCTGATTTTAGTGGAAGGATGCCTGAGACCCTGCTAAAAATCGTACTTTGTTACTTCCCTTGCAACCAGGATGACCAATGAGAGGAAGAGAAGTTGGTGGAGAGTGATTTCAGGAAATTCTTTAAAGATTTTTACAGGAAAGCAATGAAAGGGAAATGTTAAGCTCTTAACAAGGTAGTAAAGATTGTGGAGTTAGAATCTGAGCGTCCCCTTGTGTGTCAGGTCTTTGAGAGCATTCCACGGAGAGCCAGCTCATCACACCATAAGCAGCTACTATTTGTTTCCTATTGTACCAGAATTGTCCACACGTTAAACATCACAATACTCCTAAATGGTATTAATGTCCGAGTTTTTTTTTTGTTTGTTTCCAGCAGCCTGACTCACTCACAAGGTCACAGAGCTAGTCAAGGGCAGGGGAACTTAGGCCTGATTCTAAGGCCTGAGCTCTTACCTTCTCTAGTCTTGAGTCAAGGCAAGTGTTAGCTAGAAAACTAAGGTTTTCAACACAAAGTGATGTACTACACAAAAGCCCTGTGTTTAAAGTCGGGGAAACTAGGGTCACCTATGTCAATGAGCAGCAGTGTTAATACCTTGGGCATAAGATCTCTGAGCCTCGACTGCTTTCAGTAGTAAAATCATAAGCTGCCCAAAGTGTCTGAGAGAGAGAGACCAAGAAAAACAAGGCGAACTGCAAGGGAGGTGGGGCCTAGCTCGGGCGCCCGCCGGTGAGGCTAACACCCGGCAGGGGCGCGTCCGTCGCTCCGGGCCCTCGCGCCGGGGTGGGAAGGGCGCCCAGGGGGCTGCAGGGCGCGCGCGCCGCCGGGTGCCCGCGGTTACCTGGGAGCAACGCCGCCGCCTCTTCCCCGCGTCCCGAGCGCGTGAGCAGTGTGGACAGGGGTGGCAGCCAGAGCAGCGGCCACCACGGCCACGCGGGCGGCCGCATTCCGGGCCGCAGCCTGAGCCCTTGGGGGCCGGGCCGGCCGCCAGAGTAGCGAAAATGGCGGGGGCCTAGGAAGATGGAGGGGGCCGGGAGGCCCGCGGGCGGGAAAGGAGGCGGCCCCGCCTCTCCGAACGGAGGTGGAGTCTGGCCTAGACCCTGAGGCTTCGTAGCTTGCTCCCCGAGCCCTCCAGGCCCCTCGGCCCTCACGATCCTGGCTTCCCCAGGAGGCGGTCGCGTCACGTCCCAGCAGTGACAGAGCCAAGGCCGGGGCGGGGGGGAGGTAATGAGAGGGGGGGTACGCCTCAGATTTTTCCTTACAAATGCCTGCCCTGTGACCCGAGGAGTTTTAGAGCAGAGGTCTCAGAACTCCCAGGAGTGAACCCCGAGGGCAAGGCCCTTAGGCAGACCCCCCTTTTATAAAGAAATGTCAGTTTCTTTCTTTTTCTTTTTTTCTTTTGGTTTGTAACAAGCAATAACAAATAGACCATTGCTTAAATAACACTGACTGTATAGCTAAGCTCAGACACACCACATTTCAGTATAAAGAGGCTGTAAGACCTTCCCTCACCAATTTAACAGCTACCCCTTAAAATTAGCTGTGTTAAAAAGAATACAGAGATCAGATCGGTGGTTGCTGGAGGCAGGTTCTGGGGGTGGGAGACTAGGGGTAGGGGAAACAGGTGAAGGTGGGTCAAAACTAGAAAAAAAATTGTCACCATCTGAGGTGATGACTTAACTAAAAATGTAATTATTTTGCAATATATATATATCAAATCATGTTGTACACCTATAACTAACACAATGTTATATTTATATCTAAAAAAACGATATATCTTGATTAGCCTATTGAAAATTAATCTAGAACATGCAGCCGTATATAATATACTGTACTTTCTTTTTTTAAAGAATCAGCCCTCTCAGGCCCTGGAAACCCATGAATGTGATTCAATATTTCATTCAAAAAATGTGAAAAGGTGATTTCCCCTTCTCTAGCTCTGGTCTTCTGCTAAGGTACCACAAAAGGTACCACAGAGAACCCAAATGTGACAGAAATCATCCTCTAAAACTAGCTCAGCCTCATTTTCCCTAAATGATCTGAGGAAGATGCACTAGAGTCCCTGGCACTGGTGCACAATCATGTATGGCTTTTAGAAGGTGCAGAAATTTGCTTGTTAGTGACTCTTCAGGAGGATAATTATACAAATAAACTGTTATTAAGTGAACGCCCACCCTGATTCTCCCTGCAGACTGTCTCCAGAGAAAGGGCAGAACCCCTGATTCAGGTATGAGCTAGCATCTAGCACAAGGACCTTTTCCTAACCACATTCATTTTAATTTAGTTTCATTTTTTTTTTTAAAGATTTGTTTATTTTTATACAAGAGCTGGGGTACAGGCCAGAGGTGCGGGAGGGTGAGAGGATTCACCAGAGACAGAGTGGGGAGGAGAACAGGCAGATGGACTGAAAACACAGCTGAGGGAAGTGGCGGTGCAACAGGAGAGCTCTGCTCCGCCATCTGGGAATCTCCCTGGCCAGCCAGGAATCGAACCAGCGCCTTAGAGGCTGCCGACAGCTTCGCAGTGCTGTGCTCAACCCATTGTGCCAGCGCTCAACCCTCTGTGCCACCGGGAAGGCCCTAATTTAGTTTCATTTTGGATGACACTATGGAAAGTGGTTATGTAACAGGGTGGTCCCCAGTAAAGGGAGAGGTTCCCTGCCCCTCCCAAGGGAGGGTGGAGCTGAGCAGGAAGAGGAGAAGCTGCAGAAGAGACTGAGGAAGGAAGGAGCAGGATGGAGCCAGGAGACCTGAAGGAGGCGCATGGAGCCTAGAGACACGTGAAGAAACAGCTTGTCTTTTGGTTGTGGACTGGGTGACACAGATGTGGGTGAGACCCACGGGGAGGTGACAATGGCAGCTTTTATCTTGATGTTGATTTTGCTTTTTTCCTTCTGGGCTTTCTGGTTGTTTCTGACCCTTTTCTGTGGGTCCCCACTGGAAGATGCTTTAGACTTGTGGCAGGCTTTGGGGCCTTGTTCTGGGCCGATCCCATATGGATGGAGTTTTACCCACGAGGGGACGGGTAACTTTGGGTGCTTCATTTAGAAACTAGACTCTTTGCCTTTCCTGTATTGTTTTCCTAGTTGTATTAAAGTTCCTTGCCATTAAAAAGTCTCATGTTTTGTGTTGATGCGGCAGAGGGCAGAACCCATTTAGAACAGGCAGGTTTGCGGGGTTTGGGCTGCCCCTCTCCCTGTCCTATAACAGTTAAAAGAAACAGGTAGATCTTGAATAACAAATGTTTTCCTGCAGCTGGAGCTGGTAGAGAAATAAAAGAGCAGGCACACAGTAATAAATTAATGTTTAAAATGTTATTCATGTAATCTGTTCTTAATATCTATAAAGAAGCTAAATTGAAACACCCTATTCCTCTCTATAGGATAACAATAAATATTTTCCCAGAGATAACAAGACTATTAGAAGGTGATAGTTCTGTCCCTGTGGGACAATCATAAACCCTTGGCTAGCTTCCCCAAGCCTTTCTCATATGAACAGCTTAAACCATTGGAGGAAACACCAACAGGGCAAAGACCCACTGCTTCTAGGGAAGAGAGAAGCACAAATTCTGCCCTCAGGGAAGCAGCAGGAACACTGAGCTCAGTGTCCTGAACTGAATAATAGTAGAGTTTGATAACTGCTGGGGAAATTCTCACTCAAGACACATCACAGATTGGAGGCAGAATTTGGCAGTAATGGGACAAGGGGGCAGAAATACTGAGAAACCCAACTTCTAAGGTTCAGGTTCACAGACCCTGCCTAAGACCAAGGCTAGAGCAGGAGTATGGAGAACTGTCTTGCTCCCTCACAAAGGCCTAAGTAGTACATAAATAAATAATTTAAAATGCTAAATATATTAAATCAATAAAATAGGTAGACATCAAGTAGCAAAAAGGGCAAGCAAAAAAAATATAACACATGGAAATACGGCATCTCAAGATAGTTAGACATCAAAGGGTGAGAACAACTTTCTAAAATCCAAATACAAAAGATGGAAGAGTCTATCTCCCTATCAGATAACGAGTTTAGAACTGCCATAATAAATTAAAAGAGAGAGAAGAAAACTCAGAAAGGCAAGTCAAAGTGACAAGAGAACTCAGGATGGCAAATTAAAGAAATACAAGAGAACTCAGAAAATCTAACAAAATCCGGAAAAACAAATTAATGAGCTAAGAAATTAAATCAACAAATAGAAGTTTGAAATTGAAGTTTTAAGTAGAAAATGGCAGAAATTCAGTAAATAAAGCACTCAACCAATGAGATCAAGTACCCTAAAACAAGCTATGGAAATAGAATAGATCAAATGGAAGACTGAATCAGTAACATTAAAGATAATAATGGAATAAGCACCCTAGTGGAAGAAGAGAGAGAAACAAGATGTAAAAAAAAAAAAAAAAAAAAGAGCAGCAGCAATTTGAGATATTCTGATATTAAGAAAGCCAAATAAGACAATGGGTATCCAGAGGGGGAGAGACAGAGGGGGGCGGGGAGCCAAAAGCCTATTCAAAGAAGTTATAAACTTCCTACACACCCAGGCAAGGAAGGAAATATCCAATCCGTGAATCAAAAAGAACATCTGGTTACCTAAATGCAATGAGACCGACACCAAGACACTTAACAGTGAAACTAAAAGAATTCAGGGGAAAAAAAGAATATTGAAGGCAGCTTGGGGGAAGCAGGTAATATATACAAGTATTCCCATCAAGCTTATATAAGGCTTCTCTTTCCCTATCATTTATTCTCTAGGATTGCTTTGTTTTTACTCTACTGATGCTCTTTATTTTCATAATTTTTTCTTGTATTGAGGAATTCTGCGACATTCGGTTTATGCTTACAATCAAAAAAAAAATTTAAGCCTGATAATTATTTTCCTCGAAACAAAATCTGTTAATATCCCATGCATGCAAAGTTTAGAAAACACTACACTTAATCTTTAATGAGGTCTAATTCAAAGTCAAGTTTCAACTGTCCAAAGAATTTTATAACGCTAGGCCAGAGTGTTAAAGATATTAAACAGGTGAGCATCACAACTGAGTTTTGGGGGATAACAATGACTACAAGCAAAACAAAAACAAACACACACAAAGAGAAATACAGTAAGAAAGAATCCAGAACCAGGAATGCGTCAGATTTAGGAAGATTTAGGAAGACTCTTAGGTCCTTGCTTCCTTCTCATCAGAAACAGATGGTATTAACAAACTGATAAATGCTAGTGTCATTTAAGAATAGTAGATTGTAGTAGTTTGCTTCTTTCTAGTATATCAACTATACTGATTGATTAACCAAAACAAAACAAAATTCCATCTACACAGGACACCTGCCTAATCTTCTATTCAAAACTCCTGGGATAGTATATAGGCTTGCTTGCTATGTTTCTATTAGAAAATAGAGATAATGTTTGCCCATCAGTGGCTCAGTGTGGTGAAAGAGTCACATTTAACTTTCCCAGATGGCATAAGACAATTAAAACTGGATATTGGGCCTCCCCTGGGGGCTCAGCAGTTGAGCGCTGGGCAGTGAAGATGCCCGCAGCCTCTGCAGCGCCGGTTTGATCCCTGGCCGCCCGCGAGGGTCCCACATGGCACGCAGACCTCTCCTGCTGCCCACTGCTCTCCTCAGCAGTGTGTTTCGTCAGTCTGCCTGTTCTGTTCCCCTCTGGCTTTGGTGAATTCTCTCACCCTCCCGTGCTTCTGGCTGTACCCAGTGCTTGTATAAATAAATAAATCTTTAAAAACAAAAAACAAAAAAAAAGCCTGGATATTAGCACCAGCTCATAAATTTTTATACCAGAAGAGATGGTAGAAAAAGGGCAGAATTCACCATCTCTGAAGCAATTGCCCAATTGCGCCTATGTCTCTTAGCTGTGGAACGCTGGTTAACAGTTCATGCCCATTGCTAAAAAAATGAAACACTGCAGCTTGCGGAATCTGAATCACATAGAAAGGGAAGAAGTTGGCACTCCTCTTAGAATGCTAGCAGTGTGGTAATAGCAAATGTTTGGCAT